ATATGCAAAAGCGTTCAGCATTACGTATGAGTTTTATAGGATTCAATTATATATCAAGTATACGTATATCAGTCATTATTGCGTTAAAAGTAAGTGTATTAACAATAATACCTTTGATTTCGTATAGCGATAGTTGTGATTTTTAGGGTGATTAGGGTGATTTTCGGAACGCGGCCATTAATGACTATTGGGTGATTGATCAGTTCTAAACAAATGTTAAATGTATTACGCTTGTATTCATAAAAAATTCTTATTTTGGTTTTAATGCACACAATAGTTAAAGCACACTTTAGCCTCAAAACCCATTATTCATAAACGAATAATAAATCTACATTAACTATTGTGCTGTTTTTATACCCACCATCAAAAAAGATAGCGTCCACAAAAAAAGAGATATTGAGATGAAATTTTCCCAAAATATTTTTTATTGATCAGAAATGTTTGGTATTGAAAATGGGCAAAATCGGTCAACGCTTTCACATAGCCCCCATACAAATGTACCCCCCGGAATATTGTATAAAGAGCTTCAAACATTCACAAATTCGTTGTTTATGAAGCAAATGGCACAAAATTTCGATAAGTCAGTTTTTTGACCTCCGAAATAAAATTCTGAATTATGTCGGACATAGGACCACAATTGGCCCTACCCCCATATAAGGTCCCCTTTTAAAAATTACTATAATTCTGATTGCTGGCTTAAACATACCAATATAGCGATGGAAATCGACACACATAAGTTTCATGCAAGCCAATATCACTCCACCATACTATATGTGGATCGGTCCATAATTGACCCTACCCCCCATATAAGGTCCCCTTCAGAAAATGACTTTAACGCTCATTATTGGCGTACAAATACGATTATAGCGATGAAATTTGACATAAGTAAGTTCCATACGAGTGAAAATCTCTCCACCAAATTTCATGTGGATCGGTCCATAATTGACCCTACCCCCCATATAAGGTCCCTCCATAAAATTACTTTAACGATCATAACTAGCTTAAAAATACGAATATAGCTAATTTATGTGGATTGGTCCATAATTGACCCTACTCCCTATATAAGGTCCCCTTTGGAAAATCACTATAACGCTCATTACTGGCTTAAAAAGAAGAGTATAGCGATGAAATTTCACAGATGTAAGTTTTATACGAGCCAAAATCTCTCTACCAAATTTTATGTTGATCGTCCATAATTAACTCTACCCGCCCATATAAGGTCCCCTTCTGAAAATGTCTTTAACGCTCATTATTGGAGTAAAAATACGAGTATAGCGATGAAATTCGATATAGTTTTGTATGAGCTAACATCTCTCTACAAAATTTTGTGGGGATCGGTCCATAATTGACCCTACCCTTCATTTAAGATCCCCATCAGAAAATCACTTAAACTCTCATTACTGGCGTAAATGAAATTCAACACTGATAAGTTTTAGAGGAACCGAAATCTCGCTACCAATTTGTATGCGGATCAGTCCATTATAACCCCACCCCATATAAATTTCCCTTCAGAAAATAGTTAAACCCCCATTAATGGACCTATTTAAAATATTACAATGATGTTCTCATTAATATCGATACATACATAATAATAAAATATTCAAAATATCAAAGTTTATTTTTATGGCAGTGATTTGATGGTGGGTATATAAAATTCGACATAGCCGAATATAACACTCTTACTTGTTTTATTTTACTTTCAGTATGGCTGTCATTTTATGTGTAAGTGTTTTCCTAATTTTATTAGTTTTGTTTATAATAAATTTTTGACAATAAAAACAAACTTTTAAGAAAATTAAATATACATGGATATAACAAATGTCATTCCGTTTGTAACACATCGAAATTATTGTGCCCACAAAAGTATATATATTCTGGTTCCTTATTAAATTCTAAGACGATCTAGCCATTTCCGTCCGTCCGTCTGTCTGTTGATATCACGATAGGGACCACATGGAAGGATCCAGACAGTTTAAATTTTGCATAAATATTTTCTATTGCTAAAGTTTGTTGGGTATTGAAAATGGGCAATATGGGTTCACGTTTATGGATAGCCACACACAAGTGGACCTCCAAAAAACTGTTTTAAAGGACACAACTTTTTTAGAAGTATGGTATAGCGATGAAATTCGACATAAATAATAATAGAGGATTGGTCCATAATTGACCCTATCCCCCCTATGAAGTCCCCTTCAGAAAATTGCTTTAACGCCCTTTCATGTCTTAAAAATACGACTAAAGCGATAAAATGCGATACACGTAAGTTCCTTATGAGCCAAAACCTCTCTAACAATTTTTTTAGGATCGGCCCATATATGACCCTACCCCCCATATAAGGTCGTCTTCTGAAAATGACTATAACGTCATTACTGGCTTAAAAATATGAATATAGTGACAAAATTCAACAGACATAAGTTTTATGCGAGCCAAAATCTCTCTACCAAATTGGTGGATCGGTCCATAACACCGTCCGGCAGTCAAAATTAGACACGAACCGGATGATATAGATCTGAAACTATAAATTTAATGGATAAAAACTGCATTTTTAGTTTTTCATTTAGTGATCCTGTGTCCTTTTTAAAGGACTTCAAATTTTTAAAAATAAATTTTTCAAAAATATTTTAAAATACTTATACTGATCAAACAATGCTTAATTTAGTGTAAAGCGAACAAGAAGAGTTGGGAAATATTTTCGAACTCTTCTTGTCCTATTGGCATCGAATTCGGTATTGTTTGATCAGTAGAAGTATTTTAAAATATTTTTTGAAAAATGTACTTTTTAAAATTTTGAAGTCCTTTAAAAAGGACACAGGATCCCGAAATGAAAAACTGAAAACGCAGTTTTTCTCCATTAAATTTATAGCTTCAGACGAAGTATTTTAAAATATTTTTTGAAAAATGTACTTTTTAAAATTGTGAAGTCCTTTAAAAAGGACACAGGATCACGAAACGAAAAACTGAAAACGCAGTTTTTCTCCATTAAATTTATAGTTTCAGACGTATATCATCCGGTTCGTGTCTAACGAAATTTTTCTCTTTTTGTCGTACGGTGTAATTGACCATATAAAATTCCCTTCAGAAAATTTCTTAAACGATCATTACTGGCTTAAAAATACGAGCAATGAAATACGAATTTCATGCGGAATGCGTTGGTAACTCACCCAACCCCCCATATAAGATACCATCAGAAAATTACTTTAACGCTAATTACTGACATAAAAATACGAGTACAGCGATGATGTTCAATGTAAACAAGTAAATTTTTATATTTTGTTCCTAAAGAAAACGTATGTAAGTATCTTAAAATGTTTGAATGATTTATTAAGAACAAGCGTGCTCATGGCGAATTTCATCGCTTTTGTCATTTTCAGAGCGGAGTTTGTATTGGAATTTGCATCTAATATAGGCCGATTCTTATAATATTTGACAGATAAATTTAAGTGGAAATCTTGCGCACGGCCTAAAGTTCGGCTTTACAACATATATATTCCGTTGTATTTGATGAAATTAATATAATGAAATAAATTCCCAAAAATGTTTTTTAGGAATTAATCATTTTAGTCGCTAATTAAAGTCATTGTCTTGTAGCTTGACAGATCTGAAAGTTTTTCGAAATGTTCTTATGGAATATATAATAACGGTAAAAAGACTAGGAAATAGCTAAAAAAATAAAAAAGGCTAAAATATAATTCATAACTGGCAACTCTGATTTAGAATAACCACAAAATAATATCTCTATCTCTCTCTATCTCTCTTCTCTACCTAATTATAGATGTGGAACAACAGTGCGTATGAGCTTTGTAAAGTTTAATTAGATATCACTTATACATAAAGGTGTACATAAGTTCATATTTACCTCCTAAAAGTATGTTAAATATAAAAAATTTTTTAAATTTTATTGAAACTCGTCCATATTTGCAAGCGATATCAAAGAAAATCATGGAAATATTTGGCCATCGTTTTCAATTGGTTTGATCTTAAACATCTACTATAATTTTAAAGGGATTTTTGTGCATGTATACAAATATTAATACGGTTCAAATAATCTAATATATAATTCGAATTATAGGGTAGTTTAATAACGGTAAAAAGTCTAGGAAATAGCTAAAACATAAAAAAGGATAAAATATAATTCATAACTGGCAACTCTGATTTAGAATAACCACAGAATAATCTCTCTATCTATCACTCCTCTCTACCTAATTATAGATGTGGAACAACAGTGCGTATGAGTTTTGTAAAGTTTAATTAGATATCACTTATACATAAAGGTGTACATAAGTTCATATATACCTCCTAAAAGTATGTTAAATATAAAAAAAATTTAATTTTATTGAAACTCGTCCATATTTGCAAGCGATATCAAAGAAAATCATGGAAATATTTAGCCATTGTTTTCAATTGGTTTGATCTTAAACATCTACTATAATTTTAAAGGGATTTTTGTGCATGTATACAAATATTAATCCGGTTCAAATAATCTAATATATAATTCGAATATATTAGTCGAAATTTAGACTTTATAGGGTAGTTTAAAATTATTAAATTAATATTTTTATGATTTTCTTTGTTTTGTAAAAGAAATTTAGAAAAAACTATCTTTTGGAGCAGTACTTAGTTAAATATACTCAGTTTGACAGTGTTGCAAGTAACACCAATTTATTTAATACAAAATTTTTAACAAAAAAAGAATGAGTGAATAAATACGATAACAAACAGGCACACTTTTTAATAAACTTCTGCCCTGAAAGTCATCAAAATTAAATGGTGTAAAAAATAAACAAATTACTATATATTTTCATATAAATTTTTGTAAGCAATTTATTTAGTATATATAAGCTGCTAAAAAAAGATAAAAACATATTGTGAGATAAATATAAAATAAATTTTTAAACTCATGGTACAATTCACTTTTTACGTTTTTTAATCTTTACAAAATATAATGATGGAAAAAATAATATACAGACATAAATTTTTTTTGTTTATTGAATAATTCATACCTTTTTTGTTTTGCGAAACACATTCATATACTTTCAAAGTCACAGCATAAACTTTTGTATTCACAAACAAAACTGAAAACAATTTGCTGCTGTGTGACCTTTAAATTTTTGAATGCAGCATCACTGTTGTCATCGTATTTTTCAGCAACATGGTTTTCAACGGCATAATGTAACCAGTCAGTCAACAAACAAGAAGGATGATAAATAATGAAGAAAAAAAAAATAACAACAGAATTTGTAACAACTGTTTAATCCTTTATTTATATTGTATGACGTTGGTCCTTTTTTTTTCCTGTAGTTATTTTCATTTAGAATTTAGTTTGGCAAAATGGAACTAGAGGAAAAACGAAAACAAACTCATTTTCATCATCATCATTATTATCAGCAGTTATGTTTTATTTAGCTATAACTTTATTCGTTTTTTTCGAAAAATGTTTTACAAATTATATGGTCTTAGGGTTTATTTTATGCAGTTTTTTTTTTTTGTTTATTTTTCTTCTTATTTATTTTGTATGTATTTTAATTTTATTTTTTAGCTTGTATATTTTACTTTTACTTGGTTTTGATTTGTTTTCACTTTTGATTAAATTTTTTTATTTTATTTTATATGTTTATTTTTACTTTATTTATATCAACTTTTTTATTATTTAGCTTGTTTTCATTTTTTTCTTTGCATTTATAATATTTTTTTTCTTTATTTTATTATGTGGTTGAAAACATTTTTTGAAAAGAAACATAAAGAAAAACATCAATCATGGATTTTTGAATTGACACACAGACATTTGAAGCAGGTGGCATGGCTTAATACTTTCCTACTCAATGGTTCCTGTTTTTATATCATAACAATTTTTCATAGCTGCCGTTTTTATTAAAATGTTTAAAAATATTTTTTTGTATATTGACTTTAATAAAAAGTGGATCTTTAAAGGTTGGTCATTATACCCTACTCAACTTTAGCGGGGAGGGTATATTGGGTTTGTGCTGATGTTTGTAACGTACAATAATATTGGTCGTATGTCTGTCTGTCTGTCTGTCTGTCTGTCTGTCTGTATGTATGTATGTATGTATGTATGTATGTATGTATGTATGTATGTATGTATGTATGTATGTATGTATGTATGTATGTATGTATGTATGTATGTATGTATGTATGTATGTATGTATGTATGTATGTATGTATGTATGTATGTATGTATGTATGTATGTATGTATGTATGTATGTATGTATGTATGTATGTATGTATGTATGTATGTATGTATGTATGTATGTATGTATGTATGTATGTATGTATGTATGTATGTATGTCTGTCTGTCCATGTAAACCTTGTAATCAAACTACAGGTCGCATTTTTGAAGATAATTCAATAAAATTTGGAACATAATCTTATATTGTCTTAATGACGATGCCTATTGAAAATGGTTATGATCGGTCCATTATTTCAACTAGCCCCCATACAACTGAAAAAACTGCAAAACCAAGTTATACACTTGTCTTCATGACCCTGATGAATTTTTTGATAGGGCTTCATTTGACCCTAGCCCCATTTGACCAAAGCCCCCTTCGATATATGTCTTAAATGTACACAATTTTATTTAACAAAAAATGGCTAAAGTATATCTGAGACAATGTATAATTCAACTTAAATACTTTTATTATGAACACTAAATCACATTTTATTTTTATAACTGGCGTAGGATATTATATGATCGGCCTCGGCCGACTATAACTTCATACTTGTTTTCTTCTTTTTTTACACGAACCATCTTTTCCTGGACTATAAAAAAGATGATACCAATTGATTGGCTATCGAAGCGCTATCGAAGACCAGCTACGTTTCATAAATAGGACTCAAATACGTTTATGAATAGGAGTATGAGTAAATGTAAGATCTAATAGCCATCGGCAGTTAAATAATAGGGTCTGTGCTAAAATTCCATTACCTAGGAAGTATGAACGATACATATGGCTGTGCTCTACTAGATATAAATAAAAGTAAGAATTAGAAAGGCACATCCTTTCTTTGTGACTTTTTCTTTCTTTGTCCAACTTTAAAAAACGTAGAGATGAAATAAATTTAGCACAAGAACTAAGATGAATATATACTCTGACTGAGAACTATCGGTGTAATTGTATTGCAGTGAAGCATAATTGTATTAAATGGAAATTAGAAGGAGTTTGGAAGTATGCAAGGAAAAATGGAACTTCCAAATAAGCAAAAAAGAAGTATAATTTATTTCATGGAAGTACTGAAAAAGACATGCAGGGATGATCATTTTAACACAGGTTTGTCATATGAGGAATGTTCATTTCATTTGATTCCTCAAAAAATCAAGTAGAAAGATCAAAGAAAACCTAAACTTGTATACGTCGAATTTCAAGGAGTACCTTCAGAAGAATAAACAGAATAATTTCTTTGCACATAAAACTAAGTTTTGTAAAGTTTTAGCTGCCTAATTAGCACTTTCATGCCGTTTTAAAACCATATTTCGTAGGGCGAAAAGATCCAAATTACTTGTGTAGAAAAGCTGAGGGGGCTCTCAATACCGCCTTGAGCTGGGTTCATCCGAGGGACCTCAATGTTAATCCGGCGAAGACGGAAATCTGTATTTTCACAAGAAAGACAAAAATTTGTACGTATACTGCACCTTGCTTCCTGGGTATGAAGCTACCGGTGACAGACAAAGTTAAGAACTGAGGTGTAATCCTTGACCGGAAATTAAAATGGAGACACCACATTGAGGATAGGATCAATAAGGCACATCGGTGCTGCGCTATATGTAGGAGAAATATAAGCATGAAATGAGGTCTTTGTCCTGCTATGACAAATTGGCTTCATAAAAATGTAATTAAACCAATTCTAGCTGAACTCCCTGTAGTAGTTCGATATTACACTTTTTGGCCAAAGCAGTCCACCAGATCATTTATGCTTCAATGCTTTGGCCAAAAAGTATAATAGCAACCTACTACAGGGAGTTCAACGTACATACTGTTTGGGTACAAGTGGTGCCATGTGTACTACTTCAACCAAAACTCTAGAAACGTTCCATTCATTGAAACATATTTAAGATATGAGGCGGCGCTTACAGCCGAACGACTCTTTATTTAAGGCGAATTGGCCAAAAGCGGTTATAGGACACGTCATCAATGTATACTGAACACATTGGAAGGTTATACACAATCATCGGACGTGCCGGATCGCATACCAGACAAAGAATATGTCGGAAACTTTGAAACGCTGATCCCTGATAGAATGTCTTGCTCAAGCGGAACATTAGAGCAAATACCATTAGGAATCCATTGCTACACGGATGGCTCCAAATCGGGGGACAAAGTGGGGCTGGGGTTCTATATTAAAGACCCAGAAACAGAAATATACCACCGTTTACCAAATCATAACACAAGCTTCCAGGCACAAGTCCGAGTAATAACGAAATGCGTAAATTGAATTAATTAGAAATAATACGGCGCCCATAGCCCTTAATATACTTACCGACAGCCAGATCGGAATTAGGGCAATATCAGGTGATAGAATTAAATTTAAGACCGTGTTGGATTGTAAGAAAGCTTTAACTGAATACTCTCCCAGAGGTAAGGTATACATCAAAGATCCTATGGGGTGACCCTGATGAGAGCATTACGAGAAATCTACTCATAATGAGCAAGTCTGAAGTTAGTATGATGATACGTATTCTGAGTGGACACACTGGAACACTTTATTTGTCACTGTCAGGCATTCGTCGAAGTATCTTGGATCCAAGTATCTTGGAAGTGATGTTATTCAGGAAATAACATTCCTCACTAACGCTGATTGGAAAATTCAGCAAACTGAGTTTCTGAACATTGAAAAATAATATATTCAGTGAACAAAAACATTTTTTTATGAAAAGGAGCTCATAACAAGTCCGATAGTGGCCTAGGTGTATTTCTTCGGATTTGATGTAGTATAAATCCTCCAATCTATCTAACCTAAACTAAAATTTTACAAACGTCACTAGCCCACACGGAGTGTATTCACTTTTTATAATTTTGTCGCACCATACAATTAGTATATTCATTTAATACTGTTATAGAAGAGTAAAAATAATTATTAATTTTTTTCCCAAAAAATTTATAATCAATATTAACAAATACTTTTAGACAAGCATACATTTTATAAAAATTGTTTCGTATCAATTTCTACGCTGTTTATTTTTGAGTATGCAAATAATATTATTAGCAAATATAAATGATTTATTGTTTATTTATTATTTCATTAAAGTATTTATCGAATTCATTTTTTATCATAAATTGAGTTTTTTTATAATAAATTTTTTCAATAACATAAATTTATTGATTTATTTATGGATGTATTGTATGTTATAGAAATAATTTGAATTGTTTTTCTTCTAGAATGTTATACATGCAAATTGTTTAATATTTTTCTATATTTATGTATATTTGAAGTATAAGAGGAATTTACTTAGTTTTATATGTTTATATGCATTCAATCTTAGTCTATTTGTTTATCTACAATCACATGCATTAGGGTGTCCCATGAACTATTATATTTTGTGGTAAACAAATGTGTATTAATGCACTATATACTAGAAAAATAAAACCTTATTTTTCAAAAATCTTCTTAGTTCCCTAGATTCTAAGACGATCTGGCCATGTCCGTCCGTCTGTCTGTCTATCTGTTGAAAACACGATAGAGTCCGAACGGAAGTAGCTAGAGAGCTGAAATTTTGCACAGGTACTTTTAGTTGATGTAGTTTGTTTGGTATTGAAAATAATCAATATCGGCATGATTTCGCCTAGCCCCAATATAAGGTACCCTTCAGAAAATGACTTTAACGCTCATAACTGACTAAAAGAAGCATCTATAGCGATGAAATTCGACATGAACATATCTTATAGAAACCTTAATATCATTGTTAAATTTTATAAGGATCGGCCCATACTTGACCCTATCCCTCCCTTAAAAAAATGACTTTAACGCTCAACCAAGACATATTTCAAATAGGAAGAAGATTCAAAGGAAAATGGTCAGATGTAATGCTTGTAGATTTTGTGCTGGTCTAATTGACGTGAAAAATCAATGAATAAAAACACAACTACAAAGTAAGTTATATAGATACATATATAGATTCCGACATCCTAATAGTCAATTTTATGTACATTTGTCCAATTTTACTTTAAATTTCTTACAAAAAAGTAGATTTTTTTAAAACACTTTTGCGTAAAAATAACCTGTAAATCTATCGAACTTTAGGGATAGAAGTTAATTATGTAGATTTAGAAAGTCTAATCTCTCGACATTAAGATAAAGAATTAATATTTTCTAAATATTCTTACTTCTTCAGCATATCTTAACTTAACACCTAAATCTGAGGCCAGATTCTGATTCAGCGCTACTTCCCAGCAAAAAATTATCAGAAAATGTAAGCGATAAAATTGGGTACACACAGAAAACAGATCGATTGGAAATCGGTTACCATGATAAATATTTAGTTAAATTAATTAAAATTGTATCGCTGTTATTGAAAAACTGTATAATTAACCGATTTTCTATACTCAGTATTAAAAAACCATAATAATAATCGAATTG